AAAAAAAAAAAAAAAAAACCACTAAGAGCATTTAATTCTTAAATTTCTTATTTAATTCTCACATTTCTTAATATATGCCCCCAGATTACCTTTAAATGTTCACTAATTTATTAACAATGTGAGTACTGAAAAATCATACAACACTACAAAATTTCTGATTGATCATTACTATTCTAACCAAACTATACTTAAAAAATATAGTCATTCATTTTACTCTGATCAGGAATATAAAAGCTAATTTCCATTTCGGAAAATGCCACCTATGAATCTTTCTGAAAGGAAGAAGGTTTACTTGTTTTACTTTTTCATTGTCCTACCTTAAAAAGCCAGTATGGGTTCTAATGGTCTGCAAAATGATCAGGACCCTCTACATTACATGATCAATGGTCCTTTTAATAGAAAAGGCAATAATACACAGTTGTTTTCACCAACTAAAACTTGTTAGAAAGTATCAGTTTAGAGTAACAGTTCAACAACCATTAAGAAGTGCAAATATCTAATTGACTTTTAGTGAAAATGTGGTCCTTTCAAAGTTGTTTAAAAATTGTTTGGTTTATCATATTTGAAAATACTTTTATAAACAAAGTTTACAAAGAATATAATTTTGAAAGCCAAAGTTTTTCAATAATTACCATTTTTTCACTAGCATAACAGAATTGACTTTTTGTCTTGCTGACAGAGCAACTAAGAAAGTACAGTTGCATTGACCATATTGATTGTGAACAAAGCAACCATCAGTGGGACTCGGCACCATATATTTTCAATATTGACCTCCTACTTCCTTTTCCATGGCTTTCTGGGTCGGCTATTGGATTTGGACTGCAGTGTAATAAACAGCTAAGGTTTAATTAATGGTAAATGAATACAAGACATAGGTTATGACTTTAACTAATTAGGGAATTGTTGAATTAAGTCTGCCTTGGAATGCAAGGCAGTACAATCAATATCCAATAAAAGGACTATGTATGTAATTTACCTGCAAATGTGTTTCCAATACCATCAAAATGAGTTTAAATAAGTAAGATATATGAAAGGTGACTGGGAGAGATTTCCACAAATTAACACTTTATAGTTTCAGAAAATATATCCTTATTGTTGAGAAATGATATCTTCTAAAGCTTTGGTACAGGTACAATGGAAAAACAGGAATAACTGTTCACATGTGCACCTTTTTCTTTTCTCCTGAGACAAGGCCTTGCACTTGTTGCCCAAGTTGGAGAGCAGAGGCATGATTATGGCTCACTGCAGCCTCAACCTCCTAGGCTCAAGCAATCCTCCTCCCACTTCAGACTCACGAGCAGCTGTGACCACAGGCAAGTGTTACCCCTTTTGTATTTTTTTTGTAGAGATGGGGTTTCACCATGTTGCCCAAACCTGGTCTTCAACTCCTGGCTCAAGCGATCTTCCTGCCTCAGCCTCCCAAAGTGCTGGGATTATAGGCATGAGCCACTGTGCCTGCCCCATGCGCAACTTTACCAAATCTGTAACATACATTTCAGTATAAATATTCAGCGCTGACCTCCAAGTCTAACCTATACAAACTAGTGGTTTTCGGGCCAAAATGAGCATCAAGTTTTGCTTATTTGACACATTTTTGCTCCTTCATCACTTGTCATAGTCTACATTTCTTTCCACTGTTAGAAGAAATACTCATTGGCATAACATGAATTCACTACTTTTGATAAAAGTCTCACCAGTGCTCTTATGCTTCAAACTGACTATGCAAAGGTCATTGCATGCAGCCTCATTACCCTTGATTCTAATCATTCTTCTGAAATAAAAATAAGAAGAAGAAAAAAGAAACCCACCTACTCCCCTGTGGGCATCCAAGCTGGTAAACTCTATTGTCCCATTATGGCCTTTTCTAGGATTTTCCTGATACTGTTTGTGGCTCCCATTGGGACAATATCTGTAGGAAAGTCCATAATCTGCAAGATAAACCTGGAAGACAAGCACAGACGAATGAATAATGCCTTTGTCCTCTGAAAATATAACCTTTATAATTAAGTCTTAAGAAACTGATAGGTTAAGAACAGCCTCAGATCTACATTTTATTAAACCAAATGGTGCCTTAGGATAAAATATGTACAACTGGGGGGCCATAATAAATTTCCAACTTAAATCCTTTCTTCATCATTGGCATATCTTATTTCTGAGTTGACTTAGATTTTTAATCTTTTTATTTTGCTCCTAAATTCCCTTCCCTCCAGGTGGGCATCTAGACATTATAAACCACAATATGTCTTTTTATCTGTATTCACACAGTTGAGGAGGCTTTGCTTTTTCCTGTAACCCCTCCCTGAAACATAAAACTATTTCAAGCAGGAAGAGGGGATAAGAGCAAACATTCTAAAAGTATAAAGTTGATTCTTGAACATGGGTTTGAAATGCACAGGTCCACTTATATATGGATTTTCTGCTGCTTCTGCCATACCTGAGATGGCAAGACCAACCCCTCCCTCCTCAGCGTACTCGACGTGAAGATGATGAAGACCTTCTTGATGATCTACTTCTACTTAATAAACAGTAAACATATTTTCTCTTTCTTTTGATACTCTTAACAGTTTTTCTTTAGCTTTATTGTAAGAATACAGTATGTATAATACATATAACTACAAAATAAGTATTATTTGAATGTTTATGTTATCAGGAAGGCTTTCTGGAAAAGAGTAGACTATTAGTAAAGTTTTTGGGAAGTCAAAAATTAAAATTATGCAAATTTCTGACTGTGCAGGAGAGTGGGGGTCAGCACCCTTAACCCTGGCATGTCATAGGTCAGCTGTAAACCTAATGTTATGAGTCTCCATTAACAGAAAACATAATGATAGTGAAGAGACTGTAAGAGGTAATGACTCAACCAAGACACAAAAAACACCATCATGTTATCATCTGTATTTATGAATAGAACATGGATGCAGAACTTTTGACCTTTCACACGAATCCATATCATCACTGCTACCTTTGTAAGTCAGTTAGGATCGCACACAGGGCCTCCAAACAGAATACAGATTGTTAAAAGTTAGATGGCAATTCAAGTGAATTTACCTCAGATTACTTTTGGAGGGAGAAGAAAGAGGGAGAAGTAGTTTTACAGACACAGCATACATTGAATGGAGAAGTGTTTTGACTAGACATTTACTGTGACGTGTAGTCAGAAAATAGCAGTTTCCAACTATGATTACCATTCCCCCTCCCCAGAAAAAGAAAGCAGTTTCAACTTTGAAAATGTATCATTTCACATACATTTCTTTAAAATTAAAGGATTTAGGCAGTGTTTCATAATGCAGCTTCGAGACAATAGAGTATTTACAATATAATCTGCACTTTAAAAATAGATCTATTAAAAGGAAAGTCTGCATTTGAATTTTAGTTTAAGTTTTTGGTTTTAGGATAGACTCAGTAAGAGATATTTTAAACTTTAAAATATAAACAGCACAGAGATGTGTTGGAGTAACTTGCAAGGCTGTCTGAAAACAAATATTTCACTTTGTCTCTCCCTCCCACAGATGCTGTTTCTTAACATGGCCTCAGAAGTAATTGATCTCTCTGCCCTAACTCAACTAGACACATCAGGATCAAATATGGAACAGGTTGCTTGCTTTCACTGTTTCTGATGCATTTTTGTCTTTATTCCAAGAACTACACAGGCTTCACATTACAAAGCAGATATCCCAAAATGGGACATATTGATAATTACACAAATGGTATCGTATTTTAATATACTAGTTTACTATTTAAAAAAAAAAAAAAAAGAGCTATTAAGAAGCTTTTTATATACTCACCAGCACAAAGAAATAAGACTTGAATTTTATGAGGTGCCTACTATGTGCCAAGCAGTATGTTAAGCGCCTTACATCTGCTGATCCTTTAAGTCCCATTATCTCCATTTTATTTATATGGAAACAGAAGTTTAGTGAGGTTATGGGGCTTGTGTAGTAAAATGAAGTCAGGTGTCTATGGCAATTGTGACTCTAGAGCTTTTATTCTCAATCACTGTCAAAGGGAAATAGTACCAGACAAGTTAAAAACATAAGACCTCATTCAAATCTATTGCAATAGGAGAGAGGCAAGTGTAATAGGGAAGAGTCTGAACTAAACTTCAATGAAACAAAAGGTGGAAGTTTTAAAAAGCACTGGGGTGATACAGCAGAAAAGTACCAGAGGATGTTATAGTGAGGCTGGTCAATGTGATCATGCTATCTATGCTTGCTAATTGGTGCTAAGGCTCCTACCTCCCACAATGACTAATATCCTGCAAAAGAATAACCATCTTGGGTTATACAAGTGGCAGATGGATGACAGAAAACTTATATCTCAAAGGGAAAGAAAAGAATTTACAATTTCAAGTATTCTTATGTTAATGCTCTAAGAAAGAGAGGTCAGGGGCCTGCAGTCAGGAAGAAGCCTATCAAGTGGTGTCAAGCTAAGGGGAATATTAAGGCTATCTTTGTCATCACTAAGCTACAGGCCTCTGGGTTTTGCTAGATTGCTCAAACTTTGAAGGGCAGTATAGGATTTATATTTAATATAAAGATAAAAACCTGGCCAGGCATGGTATCTCATGCCTGTAATCCCACCACTTTGGGAGGCCAAAGTGGGCAGATCACTTGAGATCAGGAGTTTGAGACGAGCCTGGCCATCATGGTGAAACCCTGTATCTACTAAAAATTCAAAAATTAGCCAGGTGTGGTGGCACACATCTGTAATCTGAGCTACTCAGGATGCTGAGGCAGGAGAATCACTTGAACCCGGAAGGCAGAGACTGAGTGAGCCAAGATTGTGCCACTGAACTCCAGCCTGGGCAACAGTGCAAGATTCTGTCTCANAAAAAAAAAAAAAAAAAAAGACAAAAAGCTAACAGTACAACAAAGAAGATATACATTAGCTATTTGCTATTTCAGTCCATAAGTATTTCAGACCTAAAACAATTTAGAACATGCATGAGTACAACCTTGAGGAGCATGATTTCTAAGAAAGTAATCTCTCCAACACCACCACTTGCTGTTTTCCAACCAACGAGAAATGTCAAGGTAGTCTTAATAGGAAGTTACAGGTAGGATTCAAATAATCACTAAAAGCAATTGAACAAAACAGTGGAGTTAAGACTCCTTTAGCAAAATGAACAACCATCCATCCCCACTCTCAACCTTCATATACATCTTTTTTTCCTAGTTTGGACTTTAATCCACCAGCTTAGCATAGGGTTCAAAATATTTATATAAACATAAAAGAATATAAATATCCTTCAGGAAATTCTAGGAAATATTCTCTAAGATTCTCACAAAAGTTTTGCCACCAGTATATGTTAATATAATTTTAAAATACAGATTATGGGGCACTACCAAAGAGATCTAAGAGTGATTGCTTTTGGTGAGTAGAAACCATACGTAAGAAGAAGTCAAGTCAATAACCTGTCTCAAATAATCAAAATGTTGACAAATTAATTTGACTTGTTGGGGCTCAGAAAATAATATTCCAAATTAAGGCACCTTGGCATGCTAAGAACTTTGAATGAAAGGAAACTGAAAGGCCTCAGAAACAAGCCTCAGGACCAAGGTCTCTGTACTTCTGCTCCCAGTCTCTACCATCCTCTTTCTTTTGGGAAGCAGTAGGAGGGGCTCTCTCTGAAGTTCCATCATCTGATTAAGGGAAGTTCTTCCAGAAGAAATGCAACTGTCTTAAAACTCCTTCCCTAGGAATCTCATCAAATAACCAGAAAAGATTAGTCACCAAAGGAAAGATTAAAAGTCATAACCACACCCAGACAGGTTTTTCTTCTATTCTTCTTAAGGTACTTCCGAGAGATTACCTAAGAGACAACTTGTGTTCATAGCAGAGTTCTACCCCTCCACTTCCCACAATTTGCAGTAATGTCCCCCAGAGCTCAGGACTTTGTCCTAGGCCAACAGTCTGTTGTTTGGGCTCATTCATTTCCCTCAAAAGCCATTTGCTTCTAAAACTGCATATACTTCCCCACTTCCTTCTTCCATACGAAAAGGGTATTTAAGCCTCAACCATCTGGACCTTCTTTGAGTCGCATATTTTCAGGACTCCTGTGTCCATGTACACAATAAATTTGTAGGCTTTTTTTTTCCTGTTACTATACTGTCAGGTCATCCCAGTGACCCTTCAGAGAGAGTGAAGAGAAGTTTCCTAACCATCCTTAACAGACTACAATTAGGTCACACTGAGAGTTCTACTAAGATAACTTGCTAGAGATACACAGTCTAAAATTTTACTAGAACAAAGAAGGTATCGGGGAGGGGAATCTAGAAAATATTATCAAATAAGCAAAGGAATGGAAGAAATGAAGTAATATTTTTTGAGGGTCTATTATCTAATAATTATTGGACAAAGTACTTTTCCAAATTATTTCATTGAATCCAGACAACCACATCCACCCTGGTAGCACTGGTTTTATTTTACATATGAATAAGAAAGCTGAGAATCCCAGCAGTTAACTAACTTGCCCAAGTCACAGAGCTAGTAAAGGATGAAAGCAGGACTCGAATTCTGGCCTATACGACTTCCAAATTCTGTTATCTTTTTAAAAAATACAATGTAGAATTAAGGGTTCTGTCAACTCTGAAATTATGTTGAAGTAAAAAATGAGTTTATGTAGAACTAAATCTACAGTAGGGGTCACAGTCTTGGTCCTATTTTTATATACCCTAAAGCTAAGAATAATTTTTACATTTTTATAGAATTGTAAAGGGAAAGAAAAAGAAAAGAAAATGCAACAGAGAACCATATGTGACCCACAGAACTCATAAAAGCCTAAAATATTTGCTATCTGGTTCTTTACAGAAAAAGTTGCCAACCTCTAAAATAAAACTTGTTTCAGTTCAACTTTTCAAAAATATATTACCCCCTTTTTTTTTCTATGAAATCAAAGACAACTGGCTAATATTTTTCATTTTAATAGTAAATATATATAGTAC